TTCTTTCATTTCCCAGATTCTGGACTTTATCTATTGACCGGTTTTGATTTTTATTTTGATCTATTTTGAATTACGTGACACTGAAAACCAGCAATTGTGCTCAAAAACTGAACCACCCGTAACAGTTGTTCACTGGATGTATGACTAAATCTAAGTTGCAGCCATTTACTAGCCCTGTTTCTAATGATTGTACTAAAAAACTACAAAAGTCCATAACAGTAAAATTATTTTATAATTATAGTATTTTATTGTAGGTCATGCTGGCCGCATCTTATTGGTCTTTGCTTGCTCCAGCTATTGAGATGGCAGAGATATCTGGAAGTTATGGAAAGGATGGCAAGTTTGCCTTCATTCCGGTGTCTGTAGGGTTTGTTCTCGGAGCAGTGTTTGTCTATGGAGCTGACAAGCTTATGCCATTTCTGGTAAATTTCAAGTCTGGATAATTTGTTGTGCATAAATACTTGTTATGAGATAATAAGAAAGTAAATTTCAGCACGATAATACTAACCCCTTACTAAACAAGCATGAGGGCTGTACTGGGGAATATTGGCCCAAGGTCATTGCAGTATGGACCAAGCACAGCAAGGTTCTACAAAAACAACTGAGGGCTAATATTCCCCAAGCAAGCTAGGTTAGTAAGCAGTTATTGTATGGCACTCCATTGAAGGTGCAAATTTTGAATTTATCAGCTTTCAAAAACAAAAAATATACAGCTTGTGACCATTTCCATGGAAACAGTCTATATGGCAAAATCCCAAACAAGAAGAACCAATCAGAATAATTCTTGGATTTACCACAAGACTACCTTGCCATATAATAAAGAATTATATTTTTTTATATCATAACAAGCATAATGTTCGTAGACAAGTTTGTTTTATTCACATTTGGACCAAAATGCTTAAATATAAGTTTGTTGTCTTTTTTAGGGTGTAGAATCGTCTAACATAACTGATGCCATTACTGGTGACTTCCAGAATGGAAGTGCATGCAAAGAAAAGGAATTAAGAGAGGACATACAACACACTGAAGTCTCCATAACTAACTTCTCATACAGTAGAGATACATCACAGCTAACGCAGAGAAAGAGAGAGAATTTATACACAAGTAAACAAGAAGTTGATCAGGAAGGGCAAAAATCAAGAGAGCAGCATGCCAGCTGGAGAAGAATACTTTTACTAATTATTGCAATTACTGTTCACAATATTCCAGGTAAAATGCTAAATGTATTATGTTGTGGCAGTCATTAATTAATAATAAGTGCGAGGTGGAGACACAGTGGTCTGAAGGTTGGTATGCTTGACTACGGATCGAGCGCTAGCTCTAGGTTGGAGCCCTGGCCGGGGACATTGTGTTGTGTTCTCAGGCAAGACACTCAACCCTAGCTCACAGTGCCTCTCTCCACCCAGGTGTATAAATTAGTACTGGCGAATTTAATGCTGGAGGTAACCCTGTGATGGACTAGCATCCCATCCAGGGAAGAGTAAAAATTTTCCTAGTCGTTTCATGCTACAGAAACTGGCAGGGATAAGCTCCAGCCTAATGAACCACTTGGCTTTTCTGCAGACTTTACATATCTAAGTGCAAGGCACAGTAACATCAGAGTTTGATCAATGGATTCCAGTTCAAGAGTAGTGGGAAGAAATTTGGTCAGGGTCATTGTCAGTAAGGTGGATTAAGTTTGGCAATCAAACAAAATTGAACACCGAACTCTGTAGCTGAATTAAAAGTTAATCTACCTAAAATGCTTTTCATTCTCTTCTTGACAGAGGGACTAGCAGTTGGGGTAGGATTTGGTGCTATAGGAAAAACAGCTTCTGCAACTTTTGAAAATGCCAGGTATATCATGTTGTTCAATTGGACTGACATTCTGACCTACATGTATATATTTAATTTAAGTGAAAGTCTATTTTATACATTTATTATAAATAACCACATGTTTCAGTCACTTTGTGTATTTTAACAAGTGTTCATAATAATAATTTGTTGTTGTCTACTCTTTCCAGAAATCTAGCGATAGGTATTGGAATTCAAAACTTTCCCGAAGGGCTTGCCGTCAGTCTCCCTCTTCGAGGAGCAGGATTTTCCTCATGGAAGAGTTTTTGGTATGTATGCTGTTTGTTTCTTGTTTACAATAGAATCATTGTAGTTGTTATTACCATGGCTTTGTAGCTTACTGTCACATGCTTTGCCTTGTCATCACAGATGATCTTTAAGGTGATGTCTCACAAGCTGATTTTTAACATCAACTTTTAACCCCCAGTTTTAAATCCATGTTACACAAGAGAGCTTTTAACACAACTTTGTTGCGGCGAAGGTATGTTGTGATCAGCAACAGTATGTGACGCAACTTTGCTGATTTTAACGTCAATTTTTAACCCCCAATTTTAAATCCATGTTACACAAGACAGCTTTTAACGTACATGTAACTTTGTTGCAGCAAGGGTATGTTGTGGTCAGCAACAGTATGTTACACACTTGCTGATTTTTAATGTCAACTTTTTAACCCCCCATTTTTAATCCATGTTACACAAGACAGCTTTTAACACAACTTTGTTGTGGTGAATGTATGTCATGGTCAGCAACAGTATGTTACACAAACTGGTTTTTAACTCAACATTGTATATACACTTTTTAAATTTGGGCAACAATGTTGCAGGTTTTTGAATTGCTCTCAAAAAACCTGCAATGTGTCCACAACAAATTGCTGTGTTTAAAAGTCACCCTGTGCACTATGCCACAAAAGTTCAATTTTTAATGCAACAATATGCAGTTCCAGGAAATATCCATACTCCCTCACAAAAGGGATAGGAATTTCCTGGGGGGGGGGAGTAAGACCAAAACATTTAAAGAAATTTATGAAGCTTAATTGGAATTTCCAAAGGGGAAAGGGTCTGGAACCAAACAATGTTGCATTGAAAATCGGCATTTAAAATCAAGTGGTGTAACATCACCTTAAGTAGAAATTTGATCCAATTTTCTTCAAGGTATGGTCAACTCAGTGGTATGGTAGAGCCAATTGCTGGACTGTTTGGTGCTTTTGCAGTCGTGGTGAGGATTCTTCTAAATTGACAATGATGCCAATTTGATTTCGACATACAAATACACTGTACTCAATGTTTGGCTCTGCACATAATTTTGTTTTAGACATAGACATAGGGTACATAGACATAGTTTACCTTACTTGGATAACACACTTAGCTATGGTAACAGTGCGTCCCATAAACTTGATAAGCAGAGTCTACAGGATGCACCAGCTACAGTTGTAGTTTACAGGTGTGTTAAGAAAACAAAATAAGTAAGTACTGTAAAGGAGATTTTGATTGTTGATACGTTTATCATCAATACAACACTGTCCTTTTGAAAAAGATTCCTGTCATTATTCTCAGCATTCAGACCTGACCTTATTTAAATGTTTTGATGAGAAATGTGTGTATGAAGTCTGTTGGGCAGCTTATAAGGCTGAATGTTTTGTCACTGTTGAGAAGGGATCACTTGTAGTACAGGATAGTCCTGTGAACTGTTCAACATTCCCACCCATTATCCCAGGGGCAGATCCTGGATTTTTCGTAGGAGGGGGTGCACCACTAAGGAATGGCATAACTGACTGGTGAGGTAATCAATTTTAAAAGCGAATATGTCATCTCAAGTGGGGGGAGGAGGGGAGGGATGTGCACCCCCTGCACCCTCCCCTAGATCCCCAACATTTATCACTGATATAGCTACCCAGTGGCCATTCCATGTAACAAAGGTTTCTTTAAAACTCCAGGTTGCTGAGCCCCTGTTACCGTATGCTTTGGCATTTGCCGCTGGTGCAATGATTTATGTTGTAGTAGATGATATCATACCAGAGGCACAGACAAGGTTTGATATCATTGTGATATTTACTGCAGTATTCACTAATCATGACTGTAAATTTGATTTTTATGATCTTATTATACATGTAGTTATATTATTTGAGTAAATATTTGGTTAAACTAGTTTTGGTCTTATCTGTGATATGCTCTCTTTTATAAAGTATAGGACTGGTCCTTCTATCAAAATTGTTTAGAAAATAGCCAAAGAAAATTAGCATGCTGATTGGTTAAAATCATGTTTCTATTTATCAATTAGATTACAAGCTTGAGTTTTCTATCACGCATAGAAATCGAGAGCGAATAAATATCTAATTGTTTTAGTATAAATCTACTAGTCGTTCAAAACTTTAGCTAAATCCTCTTCACATAAACTTTGAAAATGCAACAAGAGCACACTGCTATGATACTCATTGTCTGCTAAACAATTACATTATGAGCTCAAGATTTCTATCTTGTGATAGTTGACGAGGGCACAGCCCGAGTTAGCTATCACAAATAGAAATCGAATAATCTAATTGTTTTAGTATAAATCTACTAGCCGTTCAAAACTTTAATTAAATCCTCTTCACAGACATTTCATAAACGCCAAGAAGCGGCCTTCATTTTGTTAACAAGGGCAGACTGCTACGCTACTCACTATCTATCACAGAATAGATAGTAAGTAGCGCAGCCAATCAGCGAATCAGAGAACGGCATTTGTGATAGAATGCTAGTAGATTTATACTAAAACAGAAATAGATAGTGAATAGCGTAGCCAATCAGAGAACGGCATTCGTGATAAAACCAAACCTCTCTTTGAAGTAAACTTTTTTATTTTTTCTTTCAGTGGTAATGGTCGTTTGGCTTCCTGTACAACTATTGTTGGTTTTGTTGTCATGATGTCACTGGACGTAGGACTTGGATGAGAACAGTCTAGCTTAATTCATATTTTATCAATTATGGCCTGTTGGAGCAGTAATTTAACTCAGGATATGGATTTGAACTACCTGCAGGATAATATGCCCTGCAGTAAGGAGGGTTTTGTACAAAACACCGGGTTACAAAGTACACTATGATGGAAAGAAGACGATGAAGGAGGAGGACTGGAGTCTCTGTCATGTCAGACTTTCTCCACAATCCACCGCACGAAAAAAGTTGGCGGCTGTACATTCTACCACAATACCTTGCGAACCTAACACAGCCTGTAAGGCACAAAGAAAGCCCAATTTTTACAATATCTGTCCCTGTACGAAGGACATTCTTTACGCTAGGTTTGAAGATTTTGTAACTCTTCTGTACGTTTTTACGAACGTTGTTATTTTTTGCGTGCGCTCAGAATTATGGGTAAATGTACCAATCGTCATCTTTTTTCCTACAGAGGATTGCTGAAGCTTCCTATTGTTAGTGCACGCTGGTTCTATGTATCATAGCGTAGTCCCGCAGAAAACGCAGCTTTTTCAAGTTCTAATTAAATCTTCTCGATGTAATTTATTTAGTTCTAGTCACAGATTCACAAGGACTAAAGCAGCTACGTCACGGTTTTGCGCATCTTGAAAATTTTAGCCTAAACTTTTCAAGTTCGTCGTTTTTAATCCGTGTTAATCTTCTCCATCTTTAACCATCCTTGTTAATTTATGGTTTATTGTTATCTCTTTAGTATTTTTCTATCTTAGTAAACTACTATTTTCAGGTTTTGTGCAAGTTAAAGGTAATTTTGTAAGTGGCCAAAATAACTCAAAATACCGTGACTGAGCTCCTTTAAAGAAGACTACAGAAAACATTCAGAACATTTTTTTGCATGAAATCACGGTAAAATAAGTGAAGCGAGTTTCCTCGTAGTAACAGAAAACTCTTTGAAAACACCCATAATCTACGAAACGTGTGCACTGTAACTAACAAAAGGAACTTCCGATGTTAAGTTGTGCGCGAAAATATCGTATCAGCTACTCGCACTATAAGAGTTATTTCGTATAGTCGTTATCGCATATTCAGGAGTGGAGAGAAGTCTCAATTTTACAGTGGCTTTATAACTGAGAGCCTTTTGCACCGGAATTGTAGGGGCTCGAGATTTAAATCCTCTAGAAACTTTATTTAATACGCCTACTCGCTTCGGAGTGTACATTTGTAAATCTCCCAAGATGTCCCCTTCTTGGAATGTTTCTTCCACTTTGGCTTTGCGTGGCTCATTTCTTACAGTCTATACCATAATTTACTTTGTTAGAACTATATCCACATGTTTTCAGGAAAATCTCTCCATGGCGTAGAATTCTGAAATTACCCAAAGTAACACTTAAAAACTTATTTGTCATTCATGAACCTTTGCAGTGAATTGCGTGTTGCTGGGAATCTCAACGAACATAAGATAATTTCAAAAATTGGACTGGTTTAATCTCGGTGTAACTCTGTACCATTTCGACAAATTAACAAATGGTAGCTTATTTTGATTTAAAAAATTTCTAAAGCCACCAATATTTCTGGGTAGGGCGTTAGATGACAGATTTTTGTATTATAATTTGTTATCTCGCTACTGTAGTATTTAATTAGGAACATTTGTCATTATGGGATAAAAAGAAAGAAAAACAAGAGAATAGTTGTAGTCCAAATTTACGGAATTTTAGGGTGTAGTTTTCTAGCGTTCTTGTCAGGTGGGTGGATTGTTCTAAAATCGTATAATAAACGACACACTATATGAATAGTGTTTATATTTATTGAGGTTGCAAAGCTTTAATAACCAGCAATTTTGGTACAAACTTGTTGGAATAAATTTGCCGTCAATTTTATGACAGTCACTTTGATTTGCATCTTGTCTTTTTTCCACGGGCGATAACATGAGATGGATGCACCTTTACTACGATTAGAATTGAGTCCTGTCAACTGGTCTTACATGGGTTTCAAATAGTCTCCTTGAAAGAAGTGTATGACGAGCAAACATCTATTTACGCCTTTCCAGCCCCCCGCGAGGGGGGGGGGGAGACTCCCATAAAAAGGACGGGGTGCCCCTTGGAAATCTTGAAAAAAACCCTAATAGGCACGAAGATTCTGTTTTGTGAGCGTGGCTTGAAATGTTATTCATCCCTAAGAGGTACCAATTCCAGGAGATGGGCTCCTGCCAATTCTAAAACAACACATTATCTCCTGTCATATTTTTTGGGCTCAACACCCTAAAAGGTACTGCAAAAACTCCCGCTGTGGACCGTTTGAGGCTGAATACCCCAAGAGATACCAAAACTGCCCTTTCAACCCGTAAAAGGTACGACGACCACCCCCGTCCGAGCTCGAGTCCTCCGCCGGGGGGGTGTTGAGAAGAATGAAATGACTGTAACCCTGAATGGCGCGTTTCATACTAGAGACACATAATCCGTCTGGATAATGCGTTTGCAGTTCTGTTCCTCACTGTGGGAACGGAACAAGCTATTAGTCTTCCCGAGCCTTCAGTTTGTCCTTTAAGACATACAAAAGCAGATAGTTTGCCTTGACGAATGAGCTAGTATGGCCATCTTATACTGAGGCAGCGTCCACCACGGCTGAGGAATTTGAAAACGCAGCTTTTTTTCTTCGGTTAAGTCTACTATCCACACTCCGTCGTGAAAACGGAGCTTTTCGAAAACGCTCTTCAAACCAGAAGAAGCTGTGGCCTGAAAGCATTTTGAAAACAGAGCTTTTCGAAAAAGATGGCGTCACGATAATCATTTGACTGTTTTCCACAAAGACAAATCCAAAATGAGCTGTGATTGTCGTCTTTTTAATTTCCTCCGGAGTAGTCTGGACGGAAAGCATTCGATGAGTTTTCAGAGTGAAACTCTGAAAAGGTGTAGTGCGGGCGGGGCCTTGTTAGCCGCTACTCGGTTCAACCAAGGAAAGGTTTACCAAGGGGACTATCCGCTTAGCCAAGTTCATCTCTTGGTTTGTCGCTCAAGGTGCGATACTAAATTTGTCCTCAAAAACATCAAAAACCTCAAAACTAAGTAACAGCCAAAGAGAATACAGCGAGAATAAATAAGCGTAGGCGACAAGCGACGAAGGTGTCGACTACGGTTCACTTTACACGAAGTGTCACATGATCACACCATGTACATTTTGTACTGCTGGCTCAATTTAATCAAAAATGGCGGACCGTAGACCGCAGGCAAGCGAAGGGGTATGAAACTGAGCTGAAGTATGTGTTAACAGACAAAGTGTTCGTCTTCGACCAGTCATGGCTTAGGACCAATTGGCTCTTACTTAAAGAATGATCTTTCGACGCCTGATACTCGGCGATGCTTGTTCACGAGCGTCTAAACAACATCGGAGAGCCAGTCTTCAAAGGTTCTTATTTTCGGGAGATGGACTACCCTCTCTTCAGTAGAATTTCAGAAATCTTGCTGCAAGTGGAAAGTTCAAGCTACGCACGCAGAGTAGCGTTGGTGGTTCTCCTGGTTTTTGCAGGTTTTCTTTTGAATGCAATACTTGGACGATTGTTGGAGAAGATACGGCGAATGGTCCTTCGAAGAATGTTTGATGTTGCCGGTGCCGGCGACGAAGGCGAGATTGTATTTGGGTTAGATTTGGCTTTTGGATTGGCCAATTTAACTTGTACTGCTTTGCTGGCTTGGGAAATACACCATATTTGCACATGGATATTACAGACTGATCGTGAGCCGTCGTAAGCTCATTTATAGGTCAGTAGCAGATACCAGGTTCGATGCTTGACAGCTTTCCAAATTAAAGACATGGTTGATCATGATCTTTCGTATATTCACTTGAAGCTGTCCAAATTGTTGCACTGAAATAGCTGGATAAAGGAAGAATTTGAAGAGCTTTCAAAAATACTGATGGGGATGTTAGAGTAAACTTCATCCAAGTATGGCGTGACCTGTCAAAACAAACAAAAAGGTATCTATGACAGCGAAAAAAAACAATGTACGGGACTTTATTCAGGGGTTAAAAAATAAAATACCAAAAACGAAAAAACACCATGAAAGGGAGTTAAAAGAAGTGGACCCTATGTAAACAAATTCCCTAAAGTATACTAAATGCTCCAAATAACATACATGTAACTGAAGGGACAGTTTTAATTTAACACTTTTATAGGAAATGTCTGAGGTAAACTCTGCTGTGGACATTTCATCTTAGAAATCACGATTTCATAAAGGATAAAGAATCTGGGTAATGCCATCATTACCTTATTAGGTTGTCAGATACTTGCAAAGTTTTTAAAGAGCTTTAATAGTAAGAAATTTTTTTCATGTACTAAGTACCAAGAAAAAAACTTCTTGCAAGAAACTTTAACAGTGACAATATTATTAGCGGAGCTCTGGCAGCCCAAAGGGCCACCAAGCAGAGCCCCGTACTCATATAGGAGAGAAAAGAAAACCCATGAGTTGATTTTCCCATGGTTATCATGGCTAGCGGTATTGCTCGTGGGCATAGACACACGACGGCGATGGTGACAGAGTTGCACAACATGGCGGCCATACTCCAAATAATAGGTTGACAAAGGCATGCAGCCGTTTACCGTTTACCGTTTACTTCTTTGATATTGGACATCCATGTTATGATCAATTGACACCTTTCAAAACAAGGTATCTGCTGACCAGTAAAATCACATGACCATATCGTGGGCTCAAGTTTACAGCTCATTGAGGTCATGTGCTTCTTTGAAAATGACTGCTGACTAAGTGCTGGTTTCAATTGGATTGCAGGCTCATGTCAGGTTAACTTGTTGAAAACAGGGCAACGCTAACCCAGGATTTAAAGTTAACCAAATTATAACTTTTTCTTCTATACGAATGTTTTTTGCTACTTTGTTTTGTGTATATGGTGATTATTAAAACTCACAGCGGAAGGCCAAACAATATACAGAAAACTTCACTGCAAAGTTACAAAACTCAAACCAAATCTACCTTTTCCTGGGTTAATCGGGCTCTGAACAACCCAGCCCAGGAGCTACACTTTTAGGTTGGCCTAAATCTACATATTAACTTGTTACAATATCATTGTATGGTATACTAGAAAATGGAAAACTTGCTAAAAAGAAATGGACTTTTTCGCTCAATTTGTTCACTAGTATATTAGGGGTAACCCGAAAACACTGACCCCTGGTCCGCGGACCCCCACTACGGACCCGGTCCACGGACTACCTATGGACCAGTCCACGGACTCCCCCTACGGACTCCCTCTACGGACCACCCCCAAAAATATAATAAAAATAATAAATAACTATTTCAGTTATGGGTTGTCTAATAGATTACTCGTGACAGCGAAATTGTGAACATTACATTGTGCAAATGTAACAGACCTTGATTCAGGCTTGGGTGCAATTTAAATCATTACACATTGCCATTTCCTTTGCTGTGGCCATAAAGCATATGAAAGACGCATATGGGGAAGCCTCCGGGAAGCCTCAAAATTTGTGTTTTTTCTCTTCTGCCATTTTGTTCAGCCCATTCTCCTGTGGGTTCTTGAACTCGTTCCAGGCTTCATTTATTATTATTACACTATTTTATGG